AATCACTGGTTGATGGCTTAGCACTTAGTGACATTTTCAACAATAATTTACTGATTTCTTCACCAGATAATTGTAAGCCTAAACATTTGTTGATATAATCAATTTCAGCAGTCATTGTTCTTGGTTGAATGTTTGGTGTAACTCTTGATTCATTGTTATGTTTTGAGATGATTTCAACAGGTTCAATAACAAAAGGTTCAGAACAATAACGAGCAAACATTGCAACTAGTTGATTGACAACGATCTCAGCTTTTGTTTTATCAGTAGCTGTTATTTCAATGAAAACATTCTTTGTATTTAAAGTAATTTTTGAGCGTTCAGAGTTGATAATTGGTGGTAAAGAGGCAACCCTATTTTGATTGTCCAAAATTACTGGGAAATTTTCAAAGTTTTCAATAATATGTAGGAATTTACCCAAATTTTTATCATTTGCATAAAAATCTAAAAAGTCTTCACCATTAACATTCTTTGTTTGATTTAAAGGAATGAAGTTAATGTCCTTCTTAGGTAAAGCCTTATAATGGAACGGACCCTCTAAAGCATCTAAATCATGAGTACCCATTGCAACTAATGTTCTGTTACGACATAAATTAGAATGAAGTTTATCTTGTAAAGCAATAAAAGATTGGTATGATCTTTCAGTAAAAGTAATATTTCTCAAAACAGCAGCGGCAGCATATGGTCTGACAGCAGCAGTAGATTCATCAACAGTCAATGAAAGTGTTGGAGTTGATGGGGATAATTTGTATGGAGGAATTGGTTCTCTTTGCAAAAATTCATTTAAGGATTGAGCAATACCTTCGATACAAAGCATATCATAACGATTAGCAGGAATGTCAATTTTGTATTGTGGACGTTCACCAGCTTGACAGTCATTAGTTGTATCTTCATCCAATTCAATACCAAAATCAAAACATAATTCTTCAAATTCTTCGGTGGTGTATTGTTTCCTGTTCAAAGTGTTAGTAACCCGATTGCAACAGTGGAAAAGAGGTGAGCCACGTACCCTAAAAGATCAAAAAGATCTTGTTTGTCAACCGCAACAGTAGGCATTGTAGAGCTCTTGTGGTCTGTGATGGTTCGCCTATGACTGGTTCCACGTTGAAATGGTTTTTTTCCTTCAACTTTTTTTTTTCCATCCTTCTGTTACGTAAGCCAAAAGTAATGGCACATTGCAAAATGGCAGATTGAGAATTTTCGAATTTCAGGAATTTTGGCAAAGACAGAAATTCTGAATCGAAACTCAGCAACAGAAAATTGTTTTGGAACCAACAAATTGGATTTAACTGGTGAAATCCATAGATTCGTATTCACTTATAAGAATTAGAAAAATCATCAACACAAGAATAAATTGATTGACTTGTGCTAAAGAAAGGGTAAATAATTTATAGTGCGCGAGGTTTTGTTCGTGTAATAATTACAATCTCAAAAAAAAAAGACAGCAGCACAATAGAAATTTCATTAACAAACACAGACATTATTACATCAACATTTAACGTTGATTTAAATTAGATCCAAGAAAATATCAATTCAGAATGGCTACAAGAACTCCATCAAGAGCTTATGACTCAATCTTAAAACTTCTACTAGTTGGTGATTCCGGTGTGGGTAAATCGTGTCTCCTTTTAAGATTTGTTGAAGATAAGTTCAATCCAAGTTTTATCACCACTATTGGGATAGATTTCAAAATAAGAACCATCGAAATCGATGGTAAAAGAATCAAACTACAAGTCTGGGACACTGCTGGTCAAGAACGTTTCAGAACCATCACCACAGCCTATTATAGAGGAGCTACAGGTATCATTTTAGTTTATGATGTTACAGATGAAAGAACTTTTGAAAATGTTAGAAACTGGTTTCAAACTGTCCATCAACATGCAAATGATGATACTCAATTGATTTTGGTGGGTAACAAAAACGATGAAACAGATTTAAGAGCCGTTTCTTTTGAACAAGGTGAAAGTTTGGCAAAAGAATTGGGAATCCCATTCTTAGAAGCAAGTGCTAAAACAAATGACAATGTTGATGAATTATTTTTCAAGTTGGCTAGAATTATTCAAGAAAAAAATAAGAATAACGATAATTTAAGTGCTGGTAATAACGGGGGTATTAATGTTAACTCAAGAAGTGAAAATAAAAGTGGTTGTTGTTGAGTTGGTTATTGCTTTATATCAGTTTTATACATCTCTTTTTAGTGTTTGGTCCTTCATGGTTGTTTTGATGTTTGTTTTTGTATCCCATATCCTTATTCATTTTTTTAAATACATTAATAATTGGTGTCAACAAATAGGTAGAATTTAATCGATCCTGAAATAGACTGTACTAATCTATTAATTCTGAGTATGAAACACGTATAATAAATAGTGAGATGTTATACATTCTCTAAATAAATAATGAAATAAATAAATAAAATAAATAAGTAGTAGGGATTGCTTTTCAGACTCCAAGTATTGAAAGGTCAGAAATAATCATATCTTTTTACCAAAGTAAACCCACTGATCTTCCAATGGTTTCTCCTCCAATTCTTCCCAGGCTTTCCATTCAACCATCTTTTTAGCTAATTCATATTCATCATTTGCCTGAATAAGTAATTCTTCTATTAAACCATTTCCAATTGCAGCTTCAATCTTATCAATTTCTTCATGCTTCTCAACAATTTCAAGTCTCTTCTTTGTAAAATTAAGAGTCGATTTCTTATAAACAGACTCTTCAGGGAACTTATCATCGAGAAAGCCTAATGTTGATCTGTATAATTCAATTAATGCTGGTCTAGGATTTGGATGGGTCAAAATACCAGTCAAACCTGTTGGGTTACCGGTGGCAGATCTAACAAGAACTTGAGTTGAGCGTAACAAAGGCGTAAATCTCATAATTTATAGCGTCTGAGGCATTCAGTTGATACTTAGCATAATTGTCTAATGTTTGGAGAAACTCCTTAATCAGCCAAAATCGCTTTCGTTTGATTGAAATTTTCGCGAAAAGCTTTTCGACCGGGTGTCTGATCCAGTCGCGAAATTATATAACGACTATAGCTATCTTTTCACTTTGAGTCATCAACTTCAAGATTATATCAAGACTACGCTAGAATTGGTTTTGATGTCAGCTGTATAATTTTGAAAAGGTCTAATGCCTTCAATGAATCCAACTACAAGTCCAATGACTATAAAAGATGGTAAGGAGAATGAGGTCTCTACGACGACAATTGAACAATCAAGGGCACAAGAGTTTAACGGAGCTTTCAACGAAGATGATTATGTTGACGTCCCTCCAGATGGAGGTTATGGGTGGCTTTGCTGTGCTTGTGTCACAGCAATGAACTTTGCAACATGGGGTGTCAATTGTAGCTATGGTATATTTTTATCCTTTTATTTAAAAAATGATGTTTTCCCCAAAGCTACCCCTACAGATTATGCATTGATAGGTGGATTAATTGTGTTTTTAACATTAATTTTAATACCGTATTCTGCAGTTTCATTGATAAAGTTTGGATATAGAGTAACTGCATCCATTGGTATTATCATTCAACTAGCTGGGTACATTGGTGCAAGTTTTTCTACAACCATTGGGCAACTTTATGTTACTCAGGGTATTTTGATTGGGATATCTTATGGATTTATATTTGGAGCAAATTCTATTGTCCTTCCATCTTGGTTTTTAAAGAAAAGGGCATTGGCAAATGGTATTTCACATTTTGGGAATGGATTAGGTGGTGTTGTATTTACTTTAGCCATTAACAAATTAATTATCGAAACCGGTGACCAAAAATGGGCCCTTCGAGTGCTAGCTATAGTCTCATTTGTTATTTGCACTGTTGCAATGCTCCTTGTTAAAATTAGAATACCACAAAACAGCTCATTTAAGGAACCTAATAATAACACCACAATGAAGATTTTCAGAAACATTTTTGATTATAAAGTGTGGAAAAGCTTCCCATTACAACTAGCAACTATTTGGACAAGTATTGGAACAACAGGTTATGTGATCTGCCTATACAGTTTATCCAATTACACTTTAAGCATGGGGTTCAGTCAACATCAAGCCATGGTAGTTACAGTGGTGTTGAATGCAAGCCAAGCTGTTGGAAGGCCCATGATTGGAGTTTTAAGTGAAAAATGTGGTAGAGTCAACTTTACAACTTTCGCAACTTTTTTCACATGCATTATTGTTTTTGTTTTTTGGATCAATTTGAAATCATATGGTGCATTAATTATTTTTACAATTTTGCTAGGATTCTTTGTTGGTATAAGCTCTGTAAATGTTGTTCCTTTAGTCGTGGATGTTGTTGGATTAAATTCGTTTGCTAGTGGGCTTGGATGGGCAAACTCATTTGCTGCTATAATGTCATTGGTTTCAGAAGTGATCGCTTTGAACCTCAGAGATTATTCATTGGTTGATCGGAATCCATATTTCCACTGTCAGATATTTGTTGGAGCAATGTATTTTGTTGCATTCTTGGTATTAATTCCTTATAGAGAATGGAGAATCAAAAGAATGATAAATCAATTAAAAAATTCCAAAAATTTAACTGAATCTGAAAGGGAGCAGTTTGATAACCTTTCCAAAAATAATACAATTGAAGGATATTTACAAAGAGCATTCTATAGGGTGAAAATTTAACTCAACTTGCATTTTATTATTTTTCAGTTCCAGTAGAATCATTGTTATCAACAATGCTGGAAATCTCAGCCTTTTCGATATATTCAACTTCTTGTTTTGACATTGTTGGAAGCTGGGCCGACTCAACAGTACTTTCTAGATCATAATTTGTAGTAACTCTAAAATCTCTAGTGTCAACAAATCCCATAAAAATTTGACCTTTTTCAGCAAAGAGTCTGTCAATTGACTCCAAAGACAATTGTTTGATTTCTGGATAGAATAAGAAATACATAATTGCAAATGCAAAGTTTGTGAATGTGAAGATCAAGTATGATTTCCATTTGATATCAGCAATAATAACCGGTGTGATTTCCACGATCACAAAGTTCCATAACCAATTAGCTGAAACACCAATTGCAGTACCCCTAGCTCTTGCTTGCAAGGGAACAAGCTCAGGAATCAAGACCCAAGGCAAACAATTCACTGAAGCTCCAAAAGTTAGTTGATAAATGAAAAAAAATGCAACAGCGGCTGCACCTGTTTTAGCAGCCAAATCTTCCCTATTCTGAAAGCTCAGCATAATTGAAATCATCATCATCGAGAACCCTCCACTTGCATGTCCCAATGTCATTGGTATTCTTCTGCCCAACTTGTCACCATAAAGCGAAGGCACTAATGAACCTAGTGTGAAGCAAATAGATGAAACACCAGCCAAAATCATTGCTAAATTTCTAGCGAGACCAACATTGTTTATTAAAACTGTGGTGATATAATAATTAACCAAATTAATACCCCCAACTTGTTGAGCAAACATAGTCATATATGCAAGTATAACTCTTTGACGGGTTCTTGCAGTATCTTTTTTAAATAATCTTTTCCAAGTAAATTGTCCTTCTTTCATTTCCAGCATTAAACTTTCTTCAATATCTTGATATAATGATTCAATTTCAGGATGATTTTCCTTTCTACCAAAGACGTATGCTAAATTAATTTTGGCTTTTTCTTTAGCACCTTTCATATAGAGATATCTTGGGGACTCTGGAATTGTCAAAGTCATGACCAAAATTACCACTGCAAAAATAACTTGTGTAGCGATTGGAAATCTCCAAGCTATGGCACCACCAGCAAATGACAACCCATATGTAAGCCAGTACGCATACACTAAACCAACACCAACAAATAAAGCTTCACTGCAAACCAAATTACCACGAATTTCAGGTCTAGCATGCTCTGCTTGCATCATTGGTATAACTGAGGTAACAAGCCCAGTTGACAAGCCGGCAATGAATCTGCCAATCATAAAATGAGGAACAGAGAATGCAGTGAATTGTAAAACAACTCCAATGATGGCCAAAATCATAGAAATAACAATTGTCAAGCGACGACCAAAGATATCACCAGTAAAATAATTAATGACACATCCAAAGAAACAGCCCAGGGTAAATATAGACACAATAATACCCAAGTAACTACCAGTAGGATGTCCAAACGTGTTTAAAAAATCCTCACCATCAATCAAATTTCCAATAATACCTTGCTTAATACCAAACAAGACGAAGCCAATGTCACAAGTAAGAGTAATAGCCCAGCTAACCTGGCGACCGGTTTTCCAAAATCGACGTCCTTCCCCTATAAGCGTGTAGTATTCCATCATAGTGTGTTTAGTTTAACGTCTCTGATCAAAAAAAAAATGGTGTAAACATGTTACATCAAGCTATATTTAAATGATGAAAAGAAGCCAAGATCCAACACAAAGCAATGACGTACACCCCATGTTCCCCAGAATTTCAAGATTCCGGACTGAGATGAAGATGACTTTGGAGTAAAGGGCTACCAAAGTTTGATGAATGCGTTTCGATCATGTTGTCGTTTATTTTTCAGCATGATTGGCGGCTACCAGGAAATGGACGGCCTAGCCGCGAAATTCAGCGGTTATAGGCGCAATGTCGACCTGGGCGGCCAATAGCCTATTACAACAGGGAAGTGTACGTACACCTTTGTTGAATCATTAATGATTATGTGAGTCTCCTAGTGGTTGCTTATATCCTCTGAAGTATAACATCTACGTTGCTGAAATAAGACTATTCATATTCATTTAATAATTAGTATAAACCTAGTGGTCCTTGATCTGGTTGAGATCTTGGAATTCCCAAAGTAAAGATTCATCTTTTGATACAGCAGACAAGTACCTTTCAATACTATGTGCAATGTTTTCAGCATCGAAACCAAAGTAATCATAAGCAACTGCACCTGGCAAAGACTTACCAAACTCTTGCATGTTGAATCCAGCAGTAGCATATCTTTCCCAGCCATTAGGAGCGTAAGCTTCAATAACAACAGTTGCGAGATGTCCTTTTCTCAAAACAGATCTTTGATATTCAATAGACTGGCTTGAAAATAATCTTTGTGAAGGAAATGAAAGAACCCTTGCCTTGATACCCTTAGACGCTAATTTCTTTGCACTTTCAACAGCAAAGCACATTTCTGCTCCAACACCAATGATGTTTAATTGGGCGTCATCAGCTTCAATAAACACATAACCACCTTTGGAAACCATATCACGACGAGAATAACCTGGATACTGGGTGAGTTTTTGTCTTGATAACGATAAAATGGTTGGTGTCTCTTTTGACTCGATAGCAATTTCCCATGCACCAGCAGTTTCTTCACTATCACAAGGACGAATATAATTCAAATTTGGCATGGCACGATATAGCGAAGCCAAAGCTATTGGCTGGTGAGTTGGACCATCTTCACCCATTCCAATAGAATCATGGGTTGCGACATGAATCACTTTTAGCTTAGATAAAGCACCATATCTAACTGCTGGGGCCGCATAAAGATAAAACATAAAAAATGTTGAAGTAACAGGAATAAAAGTACCAGGGTTGAAAGCCGCAATACCATTAGCAACAGCTGCCATTGAATGTTCTCTAATACCATAATGTAAATACCTACCAGAATAATCACCATTGATTCCACATTGAGTTTCAATATTTGGGTTTTGAAAGTCAACTTTCTTATCCCAAATTAAATTGACGGAGGGAGATAAGTCAGCACATCCCACTAAAAAATTATTCACATTCTTCGCAATAGGATTGAAAACCAATCCACTTGAACTTCTTGATGGGGTGGGAGTAACCGGGAAACTTGATGGGATTAACGATTTCCATGTATCACATGAAAGCTCACCATTGACTCTTTTCAAAAATTCTTTACCCAAATCTGGATACTGTTCAACAAAAGATTCAACCAATAGGTCCCAGGATTTCTCAATCGAGTCACCCTTTTCCGGCAAGTCTTTAAATAATCCATAAACTTCAAGGGGAATGTAGTATTTCATGGCTGGATCAAACCCGTTAACAACATGTAGCCTATCAACTTCTTCTTCACCAAAAGCAGCACCGTGAGCACGACAGTTATTCTCAAGGTTACTTCCAGTACCAATGCTTGTATGAACATTGAGTAAAGTTGGTTTACCTTTTGAGGTTTTAGACCGAACTAAAGCTTTAACTATAGCATTGATATCTTCAGAGCCATTCCAAATTTCAATCACATCCCAACCAGTTGCTTTAAATTTTGCATTGATGTCCTCTGTATTGGTGAGATCAACCGAACCATCACAAGTAATTTGATTATTATCATAGATCACTGTTAAATTGTCCAAACCAAGATGCCCAGCCAACGAGATAGCTTCCAAAGATATACCTTCTTGTAGACATGCATCGCCAACCATACAAAATGTGTAATTTGAAACAACTGGGAAATCTGGTTTGTTGTACGTAGCTTGTAAATTTTTAGATGCAATTGCTAAACCAACCGCATTAGCAATACCTTGACCGAGTGCACCTGTGGTGACTTCTATACCTGGGATTTCAATTTCAGGGTGTCCTGGGCATAAACTATCTGTAATATTGGAATGATAACTTTGCAACTGCTCCATACTCATATGTTTATACCCAACCAAATGTTGGAAAACGTATTGGAAAAGACAAGTGTGTCCATTTGACAATACAAACCTGTCACGGTTGAAATAATCTGGATTGTTTGGGGAAAACTGCAAGACATATTTCCAGAGTGCAATACCAATAGCAGCCATATCCATAGCACCACCTGGATGTCCCCCATTGAATTGTTGAACCAAATCTGCAATCAAAACTCTGATGCTTTTGAGAGCTAAGTTATGAAGTTCGTCTGTAGTCATGATGTGTGTTTGCGATGGGTCATTTTCGTATATTTCTCTTCATTGAAGAAGCATTGAGCTGCTTTATATACAGCACATCGTGATTGCGCTTAGTTCAGTGAATCGTGGTTTGGTTTGTGAAGCGGTTATTTTTCAAGTTTTTCTTTTAGACGACAACTCGCGCTTCATAATTTTTTGAACATAAACCTGTACTCCAACTCATGATCTTGATAGCCTCAGAGGCTATTAGTCGCTTCTCAGGAAACTATGATAAATAAATCAGGGGCAGCCCCTTTACATTCCAGCTAGCTTCTATCCATCTTTCTTCTCACCATCATGTGCCAAATTTGTCTTACTAATCCATCAGTTCAGGTCACTTTAGACCATAGAATTGAAGTCAAAGAAAATTCAATCCCTGAACTAAAACCCGGTGAAGTGTTGATTAATCCTAGAGCTACTGGAATATGTGGTAGCGATATTCATTTGTGGAAACATGGTCAAATTGGTGAATTGAAATTACATGGGAACTTGGTCTTGGGTCATGAAGCAGCTGGTGATATTGTTGGTGTTGGTGATGGAGTTCATAATGTTAAGATAGGTGATAGGGTTGCGATTGAACCAGGTATTCCATGTCATGAATGTTTCCTTTGTCGTCAAGGTGATTATAATCTTTGTCAAAGTGTCAAATTTATTGGAATTTACCCTAATCCAGGTTCAATGCAGCGGTATCTTGTTCATGATGCAAGATATGTTTACAAAATACCAAGCAATATGAGCTATTCCCAAGGGGCGTTAGTTGAACCTGTTTCAGTTGCTTATCACGGAGTGACAAGAGCCCAGTTGGTTCTGGGACAAGGTGTTTTAATTGCAGGAGCAGGTCCTATTGGATTGGTCACGTTGTTATTGACTAACGCGTCGGGTTGTACTCCTATAGTGATTTCTGATTTGAGTGAGAAAAGATTGAGCTTTGCCAAAAGATTGGTACCTCATGCTAAGACCTATAAATTTGATCCAAAAATTACATCTCAATTAAATGCTGCAAATATAAGAAACTTGTTTGGGCCCGGTGAAGAAAATGCCCCGTCGCATGTTTTGGAGTGTACTGGTGTTGAAAGCTCAATTATAACAGGTGCTTATGCTACCAGGAGATCAGGAACTCTGGTGATTATCGGTGTTGGAAAAGATATTATCAACAATTTCCCGTTTATGCATTTATCTTTTGCTGAGATTGAAAAGTTCATTAACAGATATCATGACACATGGCCAACAGTAATTAAAATGATTTCAAAAAAAATCATCAATGTTGACCAGCTGGTTACACATAGATTCCCCATGGAGAAAGTTCAAGAAGCAATCGAATTAGCTGGTAATCCAAGTAAAGGTAGCATCAAAGTCATTATTGAAGATAATGCCAATTTACACCACTGATTATTCGAGACGTATATCACTCATCAATACACAAAATACTATTTTTTGATACTTTCAATGTATTCTTCAATTTCCTCCTTATAAGAGTGACCCCTCTCTTGAAGTCTCAGTGCAGACGCATAATAACACTCAGGGATCCCACCAACCTCTTGAATCGACTTCCCAGTCAATATGCATCTCGCAAGAGCCTTACCACTCAAAAAGACTCTAGGCATTCCATGCCCTGAAAATCCAGCAGATATATAAGCGTTTTTCATATTTAAAAAATCTAGCTCCCCAACAAATGGGAAGCTATCTTTGGTAAATCCCAGAATCCCACACCATGTGTAATCGTTGACCGTTTCAACAAGATTCCATGTGCTGAACTTTTGCTCCATGTATCCTGAAAAATATTCAACTGCACCATATGGTATTTGTGAATCATCCACTGTATCATAAAGATCTGTGTAGTTGCCATCCAAGCCAATGAATAAACTATCTGTACCTCCAACCACAACACTTCCATCTGCACGGTTAATAAGATAATCACTATTCATATCAAACTTTTCAAATAAAAGATATGTATTTGGAAACTGTGGAATTGGGGTTGAAATGGGTTTAATATGCGTGACAACACCTCTTGAAGGAACAATAGTATCTTTGAATTCTTTTAAAATTGCTTTTGTATAAGCATTAGTACAAAACACAACCTTTTTGGATATGGTAGTGCCAGTTGCTGCTTCAACGATAAAATCACCACTTAGTTCATCTTTTCTAACTTTTGTCACTGTAGTATTAGTGTAAAGTTTCAAACCTTTTGTAACACAACTTTTCAATAGCCCAGTGACAAATTTCCATGGCCAAAGGTGAGCAGCAGGAGCAGTGAAACACGCTTTAACATTTGGAACTTTGGACAATACTTCACATTCAGCACCTTCCAGATATTGAATTGTCTTTTTAACCTCGTCGTTGACAAATGGATTTTCAAGCAGCTTTCTATATGACAAATAGTCATTTTGTAATCTTTGGTCATCTGTATAAACGTCACAAGCTCTAGTCAAAACAAAATCACAATCAATTTTTTCTTTCTCAATCAAATCCTTGATTGTATATAGGTGTTCAACTTCCGAGTTCACCACTTGGGCAGCAACTTTGATACCGTGCTTCTTTTCATATTCGTAGTACATTCTATGGTGATATGGTTTTAAATGTCCCCCATTTCTTCCAGTTGCACCTGAACAAACAGTTCTGGCTTCAAATATGGTGATATCTAACGTTGGATCTTCTTTCAACAAATTATAAGCAGTGGATGCACCTGAATAACCAGAACCTATTATAAGAATATCGGTTTTCTTTGGTACACTTTCTGATGATTTGTATGTTGAGAAGGAATCAGACTCCTGAAGACTAAGCCAAAATGATTTTGTTGGATTTGGCACGGGAAGATATGTATTAGAAGTCATTTGTGATAGTGGATATTTTATCTAATTTGATAGTTGACAAGGTTATAATCCCTTTTGATGCCCCTTAACTTCAAAATTAAATGAAGTTCGGTGAAACGACTTGAATTGGAAACTTGGTCCATCTGCCATCCATGCCGGTAAACTAGTCTGACGTAAACTAATTATGAAATGTTATAAATTATACAGGTATACAATTGATCCTCTAAAGATCATCAAACTTCCTAATACGAATAGGAACAAACAGCTCACAGCTTTGACCGTTTTTGAACCCAAATTTAACTCCAATGGAATAAACTCTCGAAAGAATACAACTTTGAAAATTTGGAATCAGTGTTTCAGACATTTTTTCTTTGAAGGTGAAGGACAATGTTATATCCCTCTCCCAAATTCTTCGATCTTCTGCTTTTTTTGACAGATTCCATGTGGATTCATCAATTGAAGAATCAAATGCTTGTATTGAGAATTTGTCGACTTGCAAATCTTTCATTGATATGATGTCTTGAAGAATTGAGTTATCCAGGTAAGAGTTTATCTCAATAGAATTTGATTTTAATTCACTTTGCAATTCGGTAAATGCTTTGTAATATCCATCAAACTTTGACTTTAATTGCTCCAAATTTTTCTCTTCCAAAAACAGATCTTGAGAAAGTTTGATTGGAATTGGAGATGATGAATATATATTGAACACTAGTAAAGTTGTCTTTACAAATTTGATTGGTGGTGGTGCTACCTCTAATGAATTATCTGATGGTGTAAAATTCAAATAAAGTCTCAGTTTAGTCAGCTTTTGCTTTTCAGTCATCGACAATGAAGAAGATAAGACATCATAGTTTTTCAGTCCAGTTTCCGACAGATTTGAAACTTCATTTATCTTTTTCAAAAGCTTTGGTGACTTATAAGGAAGCCCATCTTTTGGAATCGTTGTTGAAATTTTGATTAACCCACTTTTGGTTATACCCGTTTGATTGGCCTTGACTCTGGCCGTCAAGAAACTTGATGTACTTCTTGGGTATAAATATTTCAAATGAGCTTCAACTTTTGAGAAATCAGAGCCTCCAAAGCTCTTATTCCTTAAAGGAAAACTTTGAGTTTGGTTACCAGCGTAATCATTAGAAGAAACTCTGAGTTGTCTATGTTTAATTTCTAAATCAAATCTTCTGACTTCATCCAATTTTCCCTCAACTTTCAATTTCAAAGCACGACTAGCCATTTGAAATCCATGCTCAATACTTTGAACCATGGAATCTAAACATTTCTTTGAAGAAAACAAAGGTACAGCAAACCCAAATGGGATGAAACGTAAAGCATATTCCTCCTCCTTCCACACACATAAAGCCGTCGGTATCTTTTGACTAGAGCCTATCACTTTAGCATTAATACTATAGCTCACACAAAGCTTTGCTTCAGAAATGTCATTTGTCAATATTGGTGATCCATGTGTACCAAGGTGGCCATAATTAAGAGCTGGACTGAATGGTATTCTTGAAAATTTCCCGTTGCTTTTGACCCTATCAACCCCAAAACTTGGTGGCAAAAGAGAATGGACTTCTTGTTGATGACGACAGACATTATCCAGCAAACTGTATGGAAACTTGAACGCAAAAAACTTCTTATGCTTTGTATGGGCTTCAATAATTCTGTCATATCTCAACCCAAGAACACAACCTTCTTCATCTTTAGAAAGTGGATCAAATGAAATATTTGCAGCTGGAGAAACACAACCATGTGACCAACTAGCACTCATATCAACCATTGTTAAAAACCTTTTGATAAATTGCTTCTTATTATCTTTGTCAACGATTGTAATATATCCTTCTAAGGTAACATGAAACATTTGAAATTGAATAGGCTTATCGGATGTATTATGAATAATCACATTGCCATGTACAATATCGCCAGAAGTGTATTCTTTCAAAAGTGCCTCCTTCTCATAACTTTTTTTAGTGTCAATAGGGGCATCTTTTGTGACATTAATGCTAACCTCTAATTCTTTGAAGTCAGCATGTGGCAAAGTATGTACCTTATCAGCATAGCTGCTCTCAAATTCTTCAAATGAACCAGCTGCAGGCGAATTAGCATTGCTCTCTGATAAAGCAGAAGTGGGAGTTGTAAGGCGTGTTGAAGATCCATCAGTGAAGGGTTCGGAATCAGAACCACTATCATTTTGTGGATTAGTGTAATTGGGAGGTTCTTCATAATGGCTTGAGCTCTCAGCGGAATCCTTCGAGGGCGTGAACTGGAAAGCACGATACATCTCAAATGATGGCAGCACATCAAATATCAGTTCATTTTGTAGTTTATGATCCAGTTGTTTGAATTGAGAATCATCGACCTGTTGGACAAACCCTGTTTGTATTTTATCGAATTGCAGTTTCACTTTACCAGAAGCTGCTAACCTTGATAATACTTCAAGTCTTTTTTTTCTTTCTTTGAGCAGTGCATTTGTGTAATCTATTCTTTCATCATCAAGATTTGTGGGTTGATGGTCGGAAGGGGTCAATATTGTTGAGGGAGGACGATCTAAGTCTGTGGTTCCTGAATAGCTAATTGAGGTCTCTGTAGAAGGAACGTCGTATTGCTTTGACATTTGAGACTAATATTTGATAATTGAATCTGATCAAAATTGAATTTGGGTGCTTTATATTTGAACTGTGAGATCGATAGACTTGATACAAAACTGCAAAATCAATTAAACGGCCAAACACGCAAAAAAAAGTTCAGTAACAAAGGTGAACCGTGAGCCAAGTCCAAGCGACTTTTCAATCACACCAAACACCAAACACCAAATATGATCGCTGGACAACCCAATCTGCGGTCGTTCTAATTAACATTTTTTTTGCTCGAAAGAAACAGGGGCCTCCAGGCTTCAGCGTTCAGGAGTTAGGAACTCTTCAGTTGTGCCCGTTAAAAATGGCAGATCTGACGATATGAAGTGGATTTAACCGGGCTACTGTTCTTAAGAATTAATACACAAGCCAACTTATCACCAGTCTCGGGCCCAAATAAATTGTACAAAACAAAAATTAAAGGTTTGTGGTTTGCGATGTCCGTTTATAGTAAGAGAGCAGTGGTTTCAGCTTAGGTTAAGGTATTTTTATCTGCTTGTGAACGGCCTGTATGTTCCATATTTGCACATATTGATTTGAGATTTGGATTATCGTCGAACACCGCCCTTATAATCAGATTCCGACGTTAATATATAATTAAAAGCTCTGATGGACCCAAAAGACTTTAAAACTAACACATTTGCTGGTAGCTTTTTGGCCTGTTAGTATTGCTCAGGGTAGAATGTGAAGAAATATTGAAGAATTGGAGGACTAGATGATTGTGGATCGTTATCGATTAGTAAAGTAAGTAGTACTGCATACTGATCAAAAAAAAGATTGAAATATATATAAAAAGAACTAATTGTAAGGTAGTACCTCCTTGGCCATATATACCTGTGTTCTTGTGCTTGAAGCTGGCATGAACCACTAATTAGGATTTCGTACTAAATACGAGGAACGACGTTATGCGTGCTATTTTACGTCTTATAATATTATATATCATCTTGCATTTACTTATACAAAAATCAAAGTACTGTAGAGTATATTTATTTCACCTCAGTTAATTCACTGATTTCATGGTTGTATACTGGCTTTTCATTTGGATCGACTCTACGCTCTTTCAATCTTTGTCTTCTTTCTCTCATCGATTTGTAAGTAACGTTTTTAGTTTTCAACCAAATAAATGTAACAATGATCATTGCCAGACCAAGAAATGCTAAACACACAGCATATGGTACCGTATAAGTAGGAGCATAACGAGCTCTAAAAATCTGAGGACCAATTATACCACCCAATTGACCCAGTGAGTTTGAAAAGGCAAATGCAAACCCAATCTGAGAAGAACCTTCCAATGTAAGGGTCATCCAGGAGCTCATAACTGTATTATCGGCAGCAGATGAAAGTGTTGCAACTATGATAAATGCATAAATGACTGGTTTGAGGTGAACTGTTGTCATAACTATGAATGAAATCAATGAAACCACTAAAGAGGCAAAGACAAGATAACCTGAAGGAAAATAAGCCCTATCAACAAGGTATGAAAATGAAATTCCTGAAAGTACAGCCATTGCTGCAGATGGAACACTTAATAGTGGTGCTGTCTGTGGAGCTCCTAAACCAAATTCCTGGATAATTGAAGGCAACCAAAATGCCAGCCCATAAGTTCCTAAATTTTGAAACAATCTCAAAAAGGAGAATGCCCAGGTTGTTGAGAGCAGCAAGGCCTTTTGAATATCTGGTAAACTTATATTTGCATCAGTTGATTTGGGAGATTGTGGAGGTAATCTGGCCAATAAGTATGCTTTTTCCTCTTCTTCTAACCAATTGATTGCAGAATCTGGATAATTAGGTAAATAGAAAAGAATCAAAAACGAGCAGAGCACAGTGAAGATACCTTCAATAAGGAAAACCCATTGCCAACCAGATAAGCCTCCCTTTCCACTGGCAAAACTGAAACCATAAGTGATAAATGCTGTTAAAATATTGGAAAACGATCCCAACACACCCAAGAAAGCCATTCTCGTAGTGATTTCATCTGGTCTATACCAGAAACATAATAAACTTAGCATTCCAGGGTACATCCCAGCCTCTGCTGCTCCAAGTAAGAAGCGTAACGCATACAATCCAGCTTTGTTTTTAACAGCAGCTTGACAAGCAGTAACAGCACCCCATAGGAAAGCAATTCTAAACAAATGAACTTTAGGTGTAGATTTTTTCATCATGATTGTTGAAGGAATTTCAAATATGATGAATGGAATAAAATATATAGTACTTGTCCAAGACCAATCATCTTTAGTCATTTCAAGCTCTGTCAAAACGTTATAATGGGTTCCCTTGTTCATTGTAGTTAAATAACTGATATTGTTGACATCCAAATTTTTGCAAAGGTACAATAATATCATTAGGGGCATTAAATGCAAATCAACTCTTCTCAATAGTTTTCTCTCCTCAGCATAAGTTAAAAGCCCAGTTGATTGAACAGCTACTTTAACGCTCTTGAATATAGAGTTGTTTTCATTTTCAAGGACAGAATCTGTCTGAACTTTATCGGTAACCTTTTCCAGCTCAGTCATATCTGAGAAATTTATGGATGGGCTCAAACTTCTTCATCATATTTTGGGTTCCAGCTCTTCAGCTTTATACATAACACAGCAGGGCTCCTCTCAACTTTTGAGAAAACTAAATATTATCATCTAGTGATTGATTGTTTGTGATTACATAAGTACATCACATAACTTCTTATCTAGTGTGTTGATTTCCAGCCTTATCTTTTATTGTTTCCAACATATAGCTCGGATATCTCTTGGTTATTCTCCTATCAGACAAAGGTATCAGAGAGCTCTGTTCTCCACTCTTCACTGTAACTCAATAATATGTTTGGCTCATCTATCATAGATCATTGATCGGAGTGAATCAAATACTTCGGCCTAACCAACATAATACATGAAGAGTATAACCAATATCGCTTTAATGACTTTGTTGAAATAACCACTTACCAAGGAACAGCTTATTTGAATGGAGTTGATTACATCACAGTAGCTTTATCGTACTCAAATCTATTTCAAACCAGCCTGATTTGATTGTGATGAGGTTTCATTAAAGTACTCGATTCTCAACATATTTACCTAACAATATTAATAATAATTTGAGAAAGCAAGACATCGTGATAATGGAAATAATCTCTTCAACTCTACTACATTATCAAAAAATCTTAAATAATGTTTAATTATCAGCTGTACGTGCTTCACGATCGCACTGTTTCAACAAGTTCACCGTAAAAATACTTCATATACTTCCAATGATCCGCGAAATGTATCTCTCTATTAATCCTCTATCTTCAAATATTTCTGTGTACAACGATTTTAAGTGGACAGGATGAGCTGTTTAGAGTCTTAAGATTGGTTAATCCCAAGCCTAGCTATCTCCAAGTGTAGTCTTTGTCCTGCTTCCCTGGCACGATAGAAGACTTTGTACGTCGCAAGCAGATCCTAATTTGCTTAATTAACTCCGCGACAATCGTAGCACCGCTTTTACTGCCAAATCTGAGAATGGGCGCGCTCTTTTACACACTTTTCAAAGAATGATGGCTCAACTATAAACTTGAACAGGTTCCTCCCATCCTTTCTCATGTTCTCCTCAACTAATCAAGCAACATGGCTGAAAAGTTTGATGTCGAGGATATCCTCGAGAAGCTAACCACTAATGAGAAAATTGGTCTATTATCAGGTATGTATACACAAGATTCAAAAAACAAACATAATACTAACTAGTTGTTCAAGGGGTTGACTATTGGAGCACATATCCTATTCATCGTTTGAATGTTCCATCTATAAGGACCTCAGATGGTCCAAACGGTATAAGAGGTCAACATCATTTCAATAGCACACCTACAGCAGCAATTCCTGTTGGAACAGCACTGGCATCCACTTGGAACACTGAATTGTTACATCAGGTTGGTGAGTTTTTAGATTTAGAAGCTAGGGCTAAAGGGGTTCATGTTTTATTGGCTCCGACGGTCAATATCCAAAGAATTCCAAATGGTGGTAGAGGATTTGAGTCATTCAGTGAAGACCCATTATTATCAGGGAAATTGGCAGCTTCATATATCAATGGGTTTCAAAATAAAGGGTTGGCTGCAACAATAAAACATTTTGTGGGAAACGATCAAGAAAATAAAAGATTCTCTTCAGATTCTGTTATATCACAAAGAGCACTCAGAGAAATCTATTTGAAACCATTTGAAATCGCAATTGAAGAGTCCAATCCAAAGGCCTTAATGACTTCTTACAACAAAGTTAATGGTGTTCATGTTAGTGAAGATGAATATTTACTAAAAACCATTTTAAGGGGTGAATGGAATTGGAATGGTTTGGTAATGTCTGATTGGACAGGAACTTATTCAACTTCTGATGCTTTGAATGCTGGATTGGATCTTGAAATGCCTGGACCTGGAAGATGGAGAGGTGAAAGGGTATCTCATAGCTTGCTCTCAAATAAAATCTTGGAATCCACATTGGATGAAAGAGCCCTCAATGTTTTGAACTTAGTAAAACTAGTTAAAGATTCTGGGGTTCCAGAAAATGCTCCAGAAGCTGAGAGAAATGCCCCAGAAGATCGAGATTTTTTGAGAAAAGTTGCAGGCGAAGGTATTGTTTTACTAAAAAATGATCAAAACGTTCTACCATTTCAAAAAAAGAGAACTTTAGTGATTGGACCAAATGCACTTTATGCAGCATTCTCAGGGGGTGGATCTGCTCTAGCTACTCCTTATTATGCAGTCTCTCCAATTCAAGGTATCAAAGAGAAAATTGGTGATGAAAATGTTGTTTTTAACATTGGTGCGTATAACCACAAGTTTTTACCAAGCTTGAAACATGAGTTATATCATGAAGGTGTCAATGGCACATTGTTTAAAATTTACAATGAGCCACCTGAGGATACAAGTAGAGTTCCTTTTGACACTTTGGTTTTGGATGATGTGAACTACTTCAGGATGAATGACTATGTTCATTCAAAATTGAAATCTGATAAGTTTTATGCTGAATTGGTCTCAAGTTTTATTCCTGCTTTTGATGGTGTGTACGAGTTTGGACTGGCCGTCTTTGGAACAGCAAAGTTGTTCATTGAAGATGAAATAGTTGTCGACAATGCAACCAAGCAGGAATTGGGTGAATCTTTCTATGGGCTTGGAACTCCTGAAATAAAGGGTAAATTTAAAGTTACAAGCGGTAAACACTATAAATTAGTAATTCAATATGGGTCAGGTGCTACAAGTGATGTTGCAAAAGGTGCAAACAAAACATTCTATGGTGGTGGTGGTCTGCGCTTTGGTGGAGCCTTGGTGATAGGTCCGGAAAAGGAGATTGAAAAAGCTGCTGCAAATGCTAAACTTTTTGACCAAGTTGTTATCATCACCGGGTTGAATAAAGACTGGGAATCAGAGGGTGGTGATAGAGAAGATTTGAAACTTCCAGGATATTCGGATAAACTTATTGAAGCTGTACTAGATGCCAATTCAAATTCTGTTGTTTTGATCCAAGCAGGAACTCCTGTTGAGCTTCCTTGGGTATCCAAAGCTTCAACTGTGGTTTACACATCTTACGGTGGTGATGAAACTGGGAATGCGATAGCTGACGTTTTATACGGTGATATTAATGCTTCTGGAAAACTTCCATTAAGTTTCCCAACAAGATTTGAAGACACTCCATCATTCATAAACAATACAACAAACAATGGGAAGGTGCTTTATGGGGAAGATATTTATGTTGGATACAGGTTTTATGAGAAGGTTGACAAAGCTGTTGTCTTTCCATTTGGACATGGATTATCATATACTAGATTTGAACTTTCAGGTTTAAAACTCAATATTGTTGAGGATCAGCTCTCTGTTTCCCTTACTATAAAGAATGTTGGCTCATATGGTGGAGCTGAGGTAGTTCAGCTTTATGTTGGTTCCAAGAAATCAAATATTCAAAAACCTGTGAAAGAGCTCAAGGCTTTTACTAAAGTTGAATTGAAACAGAATGTCAAGTCGGACATTTCTTTTAAGTTGAACCTCGGAAAATCAACTGCTTTCTTTGATGAATCGAAAAACAAATGGGTTTCTGAAAAAGGTGAATACTTTGTTTACGTTGGAACATCAAGCTCTGATCTAAAAGCATTGAAAGCGGACTTTTCTATTGAGAAGACCACATCATGGCTCGTTCCGTTATTATGAAAAGTTGATTGCAATAGAAGCTCTCTGTCAGCTGGTAAAAATTATTTAAGTAAATCTATGTCATTCTAAACGTTTTTAGTCTCCAGTTGTAGAAGGACGATCAATCGATTGAACATGATTTTTGAATGTCTGATCAAAGTATAACTACATTTATCAATCAATTAAGAATATAGCATGTTTGAGGTGCTCTCACTTACCTGGTTATAATCATTTTTCATAGAAGTCTTGATTTGGTTAAGATAATGGTAATTAAAGTTGGTCAAAAGTGGAATTGATGGCAAAAATAGTAGTACCCTAGTGGATCTAATCTTCCGACTTAGAGAACATAACAACGGCATGATATGGCGGGAATGGGACTCTATATGTTAATGTTAAAAAGGTCTCTAATTTCGTGGTTTTTTGAAGGGAATAGTGTTAGAAAATAGGCTTCAATTTGAAGTGATTATATATTTCAATGACTAAAGTTAGAGCTCTAGAACCAATCACATCAAATTTTATTAATGGATACAAGCGAGTGAGTTTAGCCTTCGGCTTATGTAGACTTAGGCGACATTTGGAGGAAAAGCATCAAAATGCAATCTGTCTATAAATTCAAATCAATGGGATCACTGTGAAGACAAAACAATTGACGTATCAAGAATTTCCAACAATATCTGCATTTATCATATTTACGTGATAGCCATGATACATTGAGATATGAGCTTTTGAGTTGTCTGAATCCACTATAGTCAACACTTCTTTATCACAGTCCACCAGTACACCCTACACCACTCAGTTAATTAGATTTATCTATTCCACTTAGTTAAGCTTGAACTCATTTAATGAAGCATTCTCAACTTCCTATAATACCCAACACCATAGTCGACATTTGTTCAGTATTCCCCCAATGTAGTTAGAGAAGGTTTTTTTGACCGCGTGTGGGGGGTTTAGGATAGGGTAGGGGTCCCCAGGGGACAGGGTTTTTCTGTCAGTTTAAAAGGTAATTAGATGAGATTGATGGGGGATAATGTATCGATGATTCTGCATCTATGTGTAGTGTTTATGTTGTGATCGGATGAGTTTTGGTGATTTTGTTATTTTTTTCAAAAGTTTAGATTTTTATTGACCTTATATTTTTTTTTATAACTTGAATATTTAGAAAATGGTAATACTGTAATTATGAAATTTCTGGAAATTAAGAAATAACAATATAGGGATATTCTATGGCTTATTTTAAGTGCACTGAGCTATTTTAATTCACTGGTTTGTTATTTGGTTGTAAAGTTATTGTTTGTTGAAGTTATAGGCCCTGGTATGGGACACAATTATGGGTATATACTTAGAACTATAAAGAATTTAGTAAAGTTTGAATATGGATATGGTGAATAAAGGGCAACTTAAGCTACATGCAAGTTTTGGTGGTTATATCTTTTCAATTGGGTTGTTGGTGGTGGGTTATATGGATCCCGAGATCATCTTCGGGGATTAAACAGGGTATATTTATGAAACCACAATATATGAATTCTAGTTTGTACTGCCATCTTATTGAGCCCTCTCCATTTCATAGGAATGTCACTCGATTTGCTCTGGAGCATTGTGGTTGTGGAGATATACCGGGTTAAAGTTGGTCCCCATAGTTAAGGAATTTCGAATTTTGTGTCAAAAATTAACTTTTTCTTATATGATGGATTTTGATGAAAGTAAAGTGCTTTATATCATAAGTGACATTGGGCAAGATGAAAGCCAAATTTTGGAAACGGTTGCATTTAAATTGGTGAAGTTGGTGTATTTTGTGGTATCTTAGTGGGTTATATCCCCGAATAGAAAAACTTTAGAGCCCTAGGATACTTATTCTATTTAAGGTTCTTCTAGAGGTAAAAGTGCTGACTCAAATGTACCAAATCTCATTTCAATATGTTTAGATTTGATCAAAATATCCCAGGATTTAGGATTTTCAGGGTCTCACCGAGCAAGATTAATATAGTGAAAAACGAAATTTCCGATTTTGGAAAAGTAAAGGTACCTATGGATAGCCAAGATACGATTGTATAGATACCAGTTGAAACAGGTTTTCATTTCTCGGTAGTTTGGTGGGAATCGTGGTTTTGGTGATGTCCATAGTTAAGGTCAACATTATAGGCAGTTCAACCCGGGATACCCAAATTTCAGCAGCAGTAGATTCTTAGTTATTTAGTGGGATTTGTAGAGAGAATTGAGAAGATATAAGCGCCTCTGGTCTGGGCTTCTATGATAGTTTGTGGAGTTGTTTATTCCAGGATACTTAAAATCTGGGGTAATCACCGACGACAACAATAGGTCAAAAATATGAATTTCGGAATTTTGAGAAAGGAGTAGTACCAACGGATAGCGCATCAAAGTTATCATAGCACCACGGTTTAATGTTTCAGGATTTCTTGGTAGATCTTGAGAAATCAATAATATTGCTGACAAAAAATTTTCAGATTTGAAATTCACGAGTTTTTCAAGAAGGTCGATCTTGAAGCCAATACTGAGTCAAGATGTTTTGAGTTGGGTGCTATCTATGTAACAACCAGTGAATTTTAACGCTACATCAATCGATTTTTAGTGTCATGTTTTTTAAGTACTATTATTTCTAGATATATGATTTTCGTTGTTGCGAAGGCCTCTCGGGAAATTGAATTTTTTATATACTTCCAGAAGTGATATCAAGAATTCCTATTGCATGTGGATTTAATGCATGCATTTAACCATAAAGACCATCTAATGAGGATTCAGAAATAGCAATTGGTGTAATAGTGATGTTTTATGGACTTTAGATTATTTCTCAAATTTTGAAATTTCAAGTCGCCGTGGAAATTGCTACAAGAGGCCATGAGTCTCCATGACATCATTTATTAGGGTAATAAAGGGCACTGAATAGCCTGGTATTTGTAGAATATGAAGAAATGCTTCAGTCTGTGGAAATGTCATTGTTTATGTTGTTCATGTTGTTCCGCGAATTTCAAAATTGGTCAAAATCACATGACAGCTGACCCAATTGAGCCTATAGAGTCTCCAAAAGTTGGATATAGCTACTTTGGGGCCCAATTATACCACAGATTATGTTGTTGCCTTATTAAATGATCTATATTATGTTGTTTTACGTCCTCCAAAGATTCTCCAGTAGTTAAAAATCAATTTCCGGTCAGCCCCTCGAATGTCATGTTTGTTTTGAAAAATGTCGTCGAAAAATTTTCGCCCCTTGTTTTCTTCAACAACAAACAACATCAACAACAACAAGATCAACAGCAAAAAGACATAAGGAAGACAAAGTGAGTCAATCTGAATCCCCCATTTGATCAGTTCCTAACTAACATTGTTAAATATAGAAAATTCATCCAATTCATCCAATTTATACAATGGCTTTTGTGAAACTAAAATCTTTTGATTTTCAACGAAACTGGAGCTTCAATGCCTATTGATATTGATTCTGAGGTACAAACCCCTTGAGACCAACGTTTGTTTGCTATTAGAAGGTCTTTAAATTCTTGTTATTCCCGATATTCAGTTGATAAAGTTTGGAGATTAACCAATATTGATGAATGGTTTTTAAACATGATAAAAGGTTACTTGAATTATGTTATGTTCAAACTTCAAAAAGATGGATTGATGTTACGCAAGCTTGTTGATTAATTAATACATCATGTTGGGGAACGTTTTGCCACAGTATATTCAAGATTAAAGTTGTTTTCAAAAAAGATTCCTTAAGGCGAACTGAAAATTAAGAAGCCGTTGTTTATCAAGATGTTGGTAGAACTTGTATTTCCAGTGGTTGCTGATGAATCTGTTGAAATATTGGATGTTATTCGTGAAGTTGATATTCAAAATTATTTGAATGATGCTTATGGCTGATGAATTTTAAGCTCCAGCTAATCTAAAGTTCCAGTTGTTGAATATTTTGGTGGTAAAGAACCAACTCAAGTTATTTTTGATCATGTTGAATCTGAAACTACTATTTTTGGACACGTTATTGCTGAATTCACTCATGCTTTTGGTAACAAAGTTGAAGATTTTAGACCAGATAGAAAAACTTTGGGTCCAATGGATTTTGCCATTGTTGATGGTTGGTGAGCTTTTGTTAGAGCTTTTGTTTCTAGTCAATACAAAGGATGGAAGTTTCAAGTTTTGTTGAACTCTTAATTCATATGGTGTCAACTTCAATAGAAATGAATAGATCAGTGGATCTAAGATAACGAACTATTGACAGTATTCACTAATATAACAGTAAACTAAAGTGGAAGCATCTGTGGAATATTCATAATTAAAAAAGGTACCAGTCAGTATAACAGACACTTAGTTCTTCAAATTCATTATACAAGACTTTTGTAGGTATCATATGAATTTTGTTGTTGTGAAGGCATCTTGGAAAAGCAAAAATTTTATATACTTCTAGAGAAGATATCAAGAATGTTGGATGCGAAGTCACTGTATGGAAGTGGCCTGTCTGAGCATGTAATATTGATTCCTATTTGACGATTGAGTTGATGGTGATGAGTTATGTACTTCTGGTTATTTTTCAAATTTTGAAATTTCAAGCCGATATGGAACTTGCTACAAGAGGCTATATCTCTTCATAACCGCATTTATTGGTCTAATAGAGCTTCCTAAAGAAGCTGATACTTCTATATTGGTAATATATGTTCTCAGGTCTTGTTAATGTCGCTGTTTATGTTGTTAATGATGGGCCGCGAATTTCAAAATTGGAATTAATCACATGATAGCTCAATCAATTGAAGCTATAGAGTCTCCAAAGGTTGGATATAGCTAATTGGGTGTCCAATTATATCATAGAATGTGTTAATCATTTATTAAATGGTCTATATTGTAATCTTTTATGCCCTCCAACGATTCTCCAGTAGTTAAGAAACTAACTCCGGTTACGTCCTCGATCTTTTTTTGTTTTGAAAATATTTTGCCCCTGAATGAATGTTCACAACTAAGAACAACAACAACAACAAGATCAACAAGATTAGTGATATAATGTAAGTATGGGACCTTGGATCATCTATTTATACCATCAAATACTGACCATAAAGCTCTTTAGTCCATCAATCATTGAAATGAACTTGATATTCCATTAGATAATTTGGCAATGTGCAAAATGCTGAAAAGTTGTTTGGTAAATCAATTGAGGATGTATTATTTGAATGTTGTGCTCTGAAGTCCCAGGGTTTGACTCATTAAAGGGTTACTTGTCATCAACAGATTAATAAAAGAATTAAGACTCAGTGGAAACAATCTCAATCACAAGTTTGAAAAGTCATAATGATATATTTGCAGATGAATCACCCCCACTCAGCAAGAAGATACCAAGGTAACTTTGAACTGGTCTAAAAGACCAACAATTGGCGATGACATGAGAGATCTGAAGATATTACCGTATGAATTCATGAGTGGTAATGGTTCTGAGATGTGCATATGGTATGATGGCTAGAAAATAGACTTCAATTTAAAGTGATTATATATTTCAATGACTAAAGTTAGATCTCTAGAACCAATCACATCAAATTTTATCAATGGATATTGTTATTATGGATGTTATTTGGTTGTTCAATCGTTTCAACTAGGTATAAGGTCCTAATCATTTTTGGATTTCACAAACAGGGATATATATATATATATATATGCATTTTATAGCTTCATAAGCTGCTATACATGGAGGATGTGTCGCTGGTTAAAAATATACAAGAGATTCTGTTTCTAAGGGTTATGGTATTTGTTGGATAATTAATGGTTGTAGCAGGTACGTTTATACTAGGTACAAAACTTTCAACATTTATAATATTTTTGAATGTCTGATGAAAGACTAACTACATTTATCAGACAAGTGAGCATGTAGAATCTCATAGATATAAGTGTTTCATTAATTCCTTTAG